CCATACAGCTGGAAATCTTCTTATTTTTAGCAAAAAAAATCAATGAAGCAAAAAATATTGATCCCTGTGAGTTCTCTGCATTTTCAGGACTAGAATAGTAGTCTCACAAGTTAGGGGTAAGGAGATTTCCAGTCTACAGTACCTTTCTTCTTCACTTCCCACAGTCATATTAGGCAACAGAACTAGCAGGTGTGATTCATGAAAGCTGGGAAGACTGTAGCTTACTCAAGCCCCTTCCAGTCATATGATACAAGACAATCAGTTCCTTTAGAAGAAATGTTTGCAAAAACCATCATAGCAACATCCAAGCCTAAATTACCCTTTTTTTCTGGGATAGTCAGGATCAGAATAGCACATGCTGGTCTCTCTGCCTGAAATGCCTCATAAAGTGCATTTCCTAGTTTATTTAGAGGCTGTCCTGTGGACAATCCCATTGGAATTATATTGGCCATCTTCTTCCTGCCTTTGCTCACTGTTGCACCCCTTCTTTTTAAGAACAGCAGAAACTGCTTATTTGGGCAAGCATTACTGCTATGTGTTTCAATTGCATGGTGATTTGCTTTGTAGAAAAAAATGAGTAGCTATGTCTGCATTTGTTCTTTCATATAATTCCTCCATTCATCACTGTATTTGGTCTGTTTCCATGATCTAGTCTATGTTCAATTCTTTCTCCTGCACCTATGACAGAAATCTTGGTGAGCTTCCAAAAGCAGTCCACCCTCGACTGTGTCTTCTTCCTTTTGGTAAGGCTTCACTTAGGGATATGGGACCAGGGGTTCTGGTTACAATGAAGAAATGCTTGAGTCACTCTCTTGCATGATATGTTTGAATACTGAGAGGAATCCATATAATACAGCACCTGAACACCATATGCATTTTCTTGTCTATGCAGGGCACCCTCTCTTTCTTCCTATCCCTTTCTACATCCCTTTAAAATCTGTTTTACAATACCATTTCTGATACTCTGTCTCGTCTCTATGACTACAGTCAATTTTTGCTATTGTAACTACTTTCTCACAGATGACCCTGGCATAAAGAAATATTTGACAGGTAGAAAACTTTCCTAGAGGAGACCTGGGGGAATCTTTACTATAATAATGGAGTTGTCCCTCCTCACTAGCAGGGACTTCTAATTTTCTTACCATGTTTTCAGGCATTGTCTCTGAACAGAGACCTCATCTTTTCTTGCTTTTCTTTGGGGAAGAGGAAGACAAGGAATTCACATCCCTATTTAGTTGGCCAGTTTTACTAAGGAAATAAAAATATCCAAAGACTTGGTGGTAATTTCAGAGGAGCTCAGACAGATGTCTGCAAAACTCTCCTTTTAAGAGCGTTTTTGTTGCACAGTTATGATTCTCTGGTTCCGTGGGATTTCCTTTCTTCCTTCCTAATGCTGTGTTGGCTGTGACTGTCTTTCCAGTCTTTTAGTTAGGCTGAGCTGCAGAATTTTAGCTTGTGTATGTAATGCCTGATTTTGAGACCAGAAGAGAGGTTTTACTGGACCAGTGAGGGGACAGCAGAAAAATTCTCAGTTGTTTGCTGCTCTAAAGGCCCCAGGTTAGGAATTTTCTACTCTGAGATTGGGCCTAAATTGAAGATTTTAAGTAATGAAGTCACGTAATGGTTAATTGTTTAATAGTAAACTGCCCAGTAAGTCGTTTATGTAGCATGGCACTGTGAAGTAATTTATCTGTAAAAACTGACTCCATCCCCTGGGAATCTGAGTCTCTATTTTAGCATGAGTAAGCATTTTGAAGCTGAATAGTACCACTAACTCATTGATTAATTCTGTCCTCCAAATCTGTTCATTGCATAACCCTCTCATCCCTGCAAACCATTCTAATCTGTTCCCGATGCATTAATTGGTCTTCCAGAATATCCTGTCTCCTCCTTTACACTCCCCCTGTTGTCCTTTGCATAGCAAAAATAACAGTGGACAAGATTTTGCTAAATGTAAGGCAGGGTCTTTGGAATATGAGCTCTTTGATCTATGTGGGTTTTGAACTTTTACATTCTAAGGTTTTGCAGTTAAAGCGTGAATAACAGAACTTCATAGGACAGGAAAAGATAACTTTCTGCCTGTGATCTGGATTTCTTAATTTTCCCTATGTACCGGGGGTTAATGTTGCACACAGTTCAGCAGTAGTGGCCTTGCTGTTACATTAAATTGATTATAGCAGTGTCTGGGAATTAGGGGTGGGAAAATGTCTGCTGTTTTATGTGTGCATTGCATGTGTTAGCTTTATCCATGTAGTAATTTTGCAAATCCCATTTTGTTCTGCAACTGCATGTATTGACAACAGAAGTATTGATGGTGTTTTAATTTTGGTAAAAAGCAGGGGGAGCAGGGGAGAAGACAGCACTGGAATGAGAACATTCTCTTGGCCTCCAGGTTTATGGATGTGCTAAATAGAAACAGAAGAATTTAGTAAATGCTTAATTGAAGAAACAAGTTGATGTCTGCCAGGGTTAATTGCATTATTGAGTCTGAAATGTAAAGAAAAGCAACATACACCAAGACAAAATGAAAAATAGCACTGTTTTCCTTATACTTGCCCTGTAAGGCTGGGTTTTCCTTTTTACAGAGCTTTAAAGGGCCTTGGAAAGAATGCATGTTGCCAAGATGAATGGTTTGCTCTTCCATGGTGCTTTCTGTGGCTTCTTTGCCCTCTCGATGTGATAAGATCTTTTATAATCTTGAAGCAGCCACAATTAGATACAAAGGCTCTTGTTAGGGGAAGTGTCTCTTTTCATCACTTTAACTAAGGAAATGGTGTTCCAGGCTTGGCATCTGGTGTGTTGTGCCTTTGCTCCTTTCTCCAGTTGGGTTTCTCTAATCTTCTAGCAGCAGATAATCTCCAGAACTCATGAATGGCAAGGTACAGGAAATCTGAACAGAAATGCACAGATTTGCCATGGTTCCTGTGTGGGTTAGGAGAAGAGCAAGGAAAGTGCTTCAAAGTTACATAAAGTGGGGTTTGTGTATTATAAACATAGAAAGAATATTTAATTTTGTTTTAATCCATAAATTTCAGCTCTGCTTGCTGCTAGAAATAGATTGAGTAGGGCTGTTCCTACAGTTTTGATGGATTCTGTTCTTCCCTCAGGGCTTTCAAGCCCACCACCAAGCCATAGCCTGGGCTCTCTTTGGGGCTGACAGTGGGGTTTGGATTCCCCCTTGTCCTTCCTTTGAGTGGGATCTGTGTTCTGCTAAAAAAAGCAGCATTTATGAGGACAGAAGATGACCTCTTCAGCTGGTTTCTAGTCCCCAGGAAGGTGTACTAAGCATTACTTACGTAAATAAAAATTGATAAGGTGTGACTATTTCCCAGTCGAAGTCGGAACGCTCGTAGGCTGGGGAGAACAGTAACCTAATGCTTACAGCAGTTGAAAATGGGAGGAGGAGGAAGGGAAAAGCTGTCTCTTCTTTCTTCCAGGTTTAAGAGACAGGCTTGTCCAGTTCTTTGAAAGAGTTTGTGGAGATACATACTATGTGGGATGGGCTGCCCTGAATCCCAAGCCAGGAAAATCACCCTCTGTGCCAGCCCGACTGAGGTGCTGCAAGGAAAGGAGGGTTGAGGGGGGCATGCCTGCACTGATGAGGCTCACGCTGACCAAATCTCAGTTCCCTTCCCATGCAACATGTGGGTCTCTGAACAGCCTGAGGCACATCACTCTGTAGAGGGATACTGGTGAATTTGGGTTTGAAACCTGCTTTAGTGCCCATGTGCCTGAATCATAGATATTGCAGGGCCTAACCTTTAATCTACTCAAAGACTTTATCCTCTATTAGTAGATCTTATCCATAGGTTCAGAAAGTTTCCAGCCATTCTAATTCTTACTTTGTAATGAAGCTTGTCATACAAAATGTGGTGACAAAGAATTCTGTTCTTGCCAACTAAATTTACAAAGGTCACTCATGTGACATTAAAGGAGTTGCACAATTTAAGTGTCATTATAATATGCTGGTTTTATAATTAGAACTATCAAAGCTTATTCATATAAGCCAGTCTCCTAGTGCTCTAATTCACATTTGATCTGCAAGGCAGGAAATTTGCATGCATTAAATGGCCACACGTTACAAAAGGTGGCTAATCATTGAAAAAAAAAAAATCCTTTTGCATTTATTGTTCATACAGAACTCGGTATTAATACGGCTATAATTTGCAAAGCTAAAAAAATCCATTGTAATTTAATAGATTCATGTCCAACTGTTGTTAAGTGCTGCTATACTTTTCTGGTAGCAGGAGGGATTGTTGCTGTTAAAGCGGATGAATCTCGCTTTGAGAAATGGTAGGTGAGGTGACATTTTAAGGTTGAAACCAGCAATTGTAATTTGGAATCAATACTTTATGTCCTAGAATAATGTAAGGTACTGTTCTGTCCTAATTGGCTGGAAGCTAAAACGTTAATGCCAACCCAGCAGATGTATCCCCAGTCTGTAGTTTCCCATGAAGATTTGGTTTGCAAATAGATGACTTTCTATTTATGGGTAAAGTAAAGCCTCATTGTGAGTCTTCACAGTAGCAGGAGCTGCAATGGCTGTGACTTTAAGGGAAGTGACTGGCTGATCACACTGATGCCAGAGCATACTAATGAGTTGCATCAATGTATCTTTTCCAATATGTGAAAATCTTTGGTAATCAGCAGAATGTAGACAGTAAATATCCCATTGTTTTCACAGTGAAGTGTTGCAAAATCAGAGAAATATGGCTAACTCTAATTGGATTGAATACAATTATTTCCTCTCAAATAGATTTCTGATTGCAAACGAATATAATCCAGTGATGTCCCAAGTAATAACTGCAATGCGCAGATGGTGCCAAATTGAAAGACTAAGCGACTAAAAGCGTTGACATGGTAGATTAAAAATCCATCCTAAAAGTATTTCTGTTTCAGTGTGTGTTTTCCACTTTTCACCTCTTATCCAGACTACCGGAATTTGTCATCGGGTGGCATTTTCAGTCCAGCCAATGTTACACTTAAAGCTTGCTCTGGGGGGGGGGGGGGAAGCAGAAAGCACACCCTATGTATAAGCAAATCCAAGAGTTTATTGTTAATATAATTGAAGTCTTGAGAGTTGGATCATCAGAAGTTGAGATTTGATTGGTACAGAACAAGAAAGAATAATAACGCATTTACAATTGCTCTATGTACATACATTTAGTTTCTACCCTTTTTCTGACATTATGCTTGCCCTGCTGCAGTTAATTTGGATCCTAGTCAGTGATTTCATTTGAGTGGTGGCATATGTGTATGGGGGGACAGACTTGTCAGCATCTGGAGTCCTTTGCCAGGAGGAATATGATGCTGAATATGTTGGCGTTTTCTTCCTTTCTCTTGGATTGAATTGAGATAATTTTTGTATCTTTGTTAACAGACTTTTACATCTTTCTTTCTTTTCATTGGTCTCCTGTTCCAGGTTGCATCTAAATCTACTGTATATTTTATGTATATTATATATTATTCCTTTGCTACCTCTAAAACCAGTTTTGTCCAGCTCAAGAACTGCATGTTCTTAACTGAGGACAAGTGAGCTGTTTGGAGCTGTGGAGTCTCCAGTGCCAAGCCTGGATCCCCTCTCTCATTTTCCTGTGCCAGTACTCCTCTGTGCTACATCCTATGTCTTCACTTCCCAAGGCCTCTCCTGTTGTACCAGCCCCTGTGTTTCTCTGCACTATGTTAGTGTGCTAGAGTCATAAATATTTCATTTTATGGCATAACTGTTGCTGCTTTTTGTATGCAACTATGGTTGTACTGCTCCAAGATAAACAAAACAAATCAGCAGTAGACACCTGGTCAGCTGGAGAAACTGCTGCCACACTAAACCAAGTAAAACAGAAAGGGAAATCAGGGCAAAGTAGACCTGACAAGCCTTAGTTCTGAGGCCTTGTAAACTCAGAACAAAACTTACAGCCTGTCAGCAATGGCAATGACAGGGCTACATGGTTATACTAATTATAGATGAACTGTGTTAAAGGTACAGCTGTTTAATATTGCCTTTGGAGAGGGACTGTGTTGCCTCCTCTGTGGCAAGAAGTGTTACTAAAAAGGTTTTCTCCCTTTTGATAGACCTTGAATGTATGCTGTTTGCTTAACCTGCAACAGTTGACTAAGAGAAAAAATTAAATGTGGTTGGGGTTGAGCATCTGAAAATTCATAAACCCACTTAAACTTACATCCTGTGATGCCCTACCAGCTGTAGGTATGCTTCCAATGAGAAGCACCTCAGCTGTTTGTGTGTCTGTCACTAAATCACTAGCCTCATTCAGCAGAGATCCTACATAATCTTTTTTCAACCTTTTGCTGCTGAAGTGGCAATAGAAACAGTTCTTGTCCTTCATGTCCTTAGCAAATGTCAACACCAGTTTATCTCTGTGTTTTCTAACACCATGCTTACCTGCCTAGCAATGTTTGAAATTCCTCCTTCCAGCCCTGTTTAGCCAAGCCGGATGGATACCTGATATGCCTGTCTGTTTCCCTAAGTATCAGAATGGACCATTCTTCCCCTTTGAGGGTACTGCCCTCAAAGAACTGCCGGCTTCCCTGAACTTAGCTTGCCGACCCACATTTCATGGGACCCCACTGGTAGCTCTCTGAACAGGCTGAGGTCTGCTCACCTGAAGTCTGAGGTTTGCACTCTGGTGTTTCCTTCCTCACTCCTCTCAGGGTTTTGACCTCAGCTGCTTCATGGCCATTACAGCCAAGGCTGTCACTTCTTTCCTCACGAACAGCAGGTCCAGTTGTGCGTCACCCCTGAGCTGGCCATCCTGTACCTCTGTCAGAATGTAACCTCACCCTCCAGAAATCTTCTGATGTTGGCCCTTCCAAGAGGTCAAGGAGGTTAAGGTCTTCCCTAAGAACCAGGGTCCGTAATACAGAGACTTGCTCAAGTTGTTGAGAGAAGACCTCACCATCTTTCTCACCCTGGTGGGGTGATTTGTACCAAACTCCCCCACAGGGTTCCCCCTTCTGGCCTCTCCTCTTCAGCTGGGTATAAGGTGTGTGAGGGGAGAATAGTGGGTTATCAGGAAATAGTCTCATCTGAGCCCTTGGTTCTTCATGAGACAAGAAGATTGAGAGCTTGATGGGTATAAGAGCTGGCAACAGGAGGTCATATTAAACTGTGGGCTGGTAAGACATGTTTGTAAAGCTAGTTGCATGTCTGCCAACAGAGATATAGGATTTCAAGTGTGAAGTGTGTGGATGAAAAAAGATGGTTTTCTCTCAAGAAACTGTTGAGTTTTCATTGAAACCCTTTGGTCTGAAGCAGAAGCTTTCTAAGTTTCTAAGTCATCTGTGCTTTCTGGAAGAAAGAACTTTGCTTTCCAAACAGTTCTGATATTCACCAGAGCACAGAATCCTGTTTAGTTTGAATGTCAATAAAACCAGCTTATGTATAAAGGTATCAGGGAGTGTCCCCTGACGTTGTGTTTGCTGGGCATAAAATGCCAGTGGTTCATTACGCAGGTAAAAGCAATGCAGTTTGAAATTATACCGGTGATAAGTGTGAAAATAACAATTGCTTGAATAGACTGGAACTTACTCCTTTTTTTTTAAAGATCTTTTTAATAAACTTTAATCAGTCATATGAAAAAAATGATCGCTGAAGGTTTCCCCTCCTGCTTGACTCGGCCACAACCGAATCCTGAACTGTTTGAAATTTGCTTTTCTCTGTCAGAAAGGTGCTAAAGTTTAAAGTGTGCTTAATGTTTTACGGATTTTCTTTCATGAAGTTTCCTCATTCAGACAGCTTTGTCATCTCTCCCTTATCCCAAACATCACTTTATGTAGTACTTGAGAATATGGCTGTCAGCGCATTGAAAACATGAAATGTGAATCTCACTCTATGAAGCTAATGGTAATATGAAATCATGTAAGGTAGCTGCAAAGTACTTTTCATGCAAAAGAAGAAAAAGAGCCAGAGAGAAAAAAGGAAAGCGTGTATCTTAGTGAGATCTTTCACAGAAACAAACTCATTTTCAAGCTTGACTGAGAAGTGAAAGTGTGATAGTGGGTTTGCATTTCACCATGAACATTTCAAACACATCTGATTTCTGCACATGCTATGATTGCTAACGTGTGAAGTCACTTAATTAAGTATACATTTAACCCTTCTTTTCTCCAAGAGGTGCTCAGGAGAAGTTGAGCTTTTAAAATAAAACCCATATTCAGCATATGTAGTTACCCTAGTTGTGAAAAACTGGCAAAAATCACTGTTGAATTATTAATTTCTATTGTTTGTCATAAATGAAAATAATCTTTTATGCAGTAACAACTATTGTATGTTCTTCAGAGGACACTAGGTGTGAAGGTCAGCGATAAATTCTTCCTGCTGCGATGTTTTCTGGCCTCTGAAATCACATATAATGTTCATTTTGTGTGCATTATTTTGTGATGGTACTCAGTTGAGCTAAAGATTGATTCGAGATTGTCTTTGTTGTTGCAGGGAGTTGAGAGCAAGGGAAAGGAATCCATTGTTATAACTTGTAGCTGAAGAGGCCTGCAGATTTGGCCCCAGTTTTCTTTTTCCATTGAAAATCTCTCGGAGATACCCAGGGGGCAGTGCTTGTGTTGTCACATGTTGGAGGCGAAGGAGAGCGGGTGGAGGCTTTTGGTAACAGCACGTGTTTTTTTTTTGTATTAGTCTCTGCTGCTTTCTCATTTGAAGCAGGAATTAGCAGCATCCTAGAAGCAGGTTCCTAATGACTTCACAGGGCTTTGAACTGGGCAGTGCGGTTGTTTTCTAAGCTTGGGGCTTGTGAGTGATTAGGCGTTCCAAACCAGTGACTACAAACCCTATGCTGCCACCAAGCAGCTGTGCCGTAACCTCCTGTGGCTCCATGACACGACCGATGCAAGCATTGCTCGCCTGTGCCTCATCTGCCACTGCAAGTGACTTCAAAGTTGTGTTTGAGTCTTTAATGGGAGTCAGAGGTCACCAAAATGCACCCCTTTGAGGTCCTTGTCAGAGAGCTCTAGACAGCAACATTGTTCCTCTCAGAGAGAGAGGGGAAAGGGCATGGTGGGTGTCCATGGCAGAGTTTCTTTACTCTCTCTTAATTGAGCTGCTAGTGCTGATGGTTTGCAGCATGCGAGCATGGTGGGAAATTAAGTCAGGGACAAAACTACCTGGTGGGGCTGTCATCTCCTCTGCTTGCTTGTACACATCCAGTCAGTGGAAGGCCTGGCAGGCTGGATGAGGTGTGGTAGGAAGATATTAAACTTGATTTTCTACCACTCTTGCATACTTGCACAGCAATTAGAAAAAGTCCTGCTACTCTAAAGTCAGAGCTTGCTTCAGCTTGCTGCCACTAGGATCTGGGAAGCTACCAAGCTGTTTAAAGATCATGATCCCTGTGATGTCTCAGAGACTCAGCTCTTTGAAGGCATCTCAAGTATCTTACAAGGGTGAGGAAGTTTTTTTACCCACCAGAGTCAACAATGAGGAAGTCTCATAAGCTGTAATAGCAGTTTCGACAACCTGGCTCTAAACAACCCTAGGAAGTTCTCAGGCTGTTAATCTCAGGATGATTTCTTTATCACTCTTTTCATGTAAGAGAGCAAGGTACCTAATGTTTTATGGGAGCTAATAAGATTTTACAAAGTGTCATGCTTGTCTCATCCCGAAACGTTGCACAGGTGCCTTTTAATGTTGTACTGTAAGAAACTCTAGTCTGCAGATTCTCGTCATGGATGCCTGACCAGCTAGCAGGATTATTCAGATATTAAATATTACACATGGCTACAAGTTTTATTGGGTAGCACAGTCGTTCCCAGTGATTCAAAATCCTGTGTTTTGGTGACGGAGTACTATGAACAAATATGGAGGAAAAGAAGCCAAGCTACTTAACTGAATGCTATCAAACATGCAGGCAATTATTCAGGTTTTGTTGCCTTAGATTTAGATGTTTAATATTTGGTGAAGATAATTCTTCTCAGTGAATAAACCATTGTATTGGGAGGGATGTTTTTCTTCTAACTTTGTAGAATGCCGGTTCCAAAATGGTTGTTAATTTTGAGGCTTTGTTTCGTTGTTTCTTTTCTTTTTGGCAATCCTGACCCTGTTTGAACCTTTTAATGAAGACAGCCCCGGGTAAATCATGTTAGCCACAGAGGCAGAGCAACCAGCAAGATCATGCAAAAAGCCTTCTAGAGTAAAGCTAGTTTTGGATAATGCAGATTTGATAGAGCTGGAAACTCAACATGTATGCTATTCCTGAAAAATAATTTAAGCAAAATAAAAGCTCAGAAGGCTGAGGAAATTTGAAAATGTATTTAAAATGAATGTTTAAATACTTGAGTCCAGTGAGAGACTTCTGTGAGCTGCGTGTAAATTGTTTTTCTTATCCTCAGCGTGTATATGTTATGGTTGGTTTGCTGGCTTTGTATTATCACTAGTCTAGATTGAGTTTGTCTATGTGCAATCAAGTATATAACAATTGCTTCATGTTAGCAATACTAACAGGGCCACAGGAAGTCGTTTTGAAGTTGAGATCACTTGACTTCACTGAAAATTCATGGCAGCAGTAGCAGGGGCAGGTTCTCTTTCTGGGGTGTTTGTAGGCTGTAAACATATTACACTGGTAAAGCAGATCTTAGATTGGTACCTACAAATCCACAATTTTACGTGAGTCCTACCTCAGTTAAATGAAATAGAGAGATTTTGTGAGAAGCTTCAAATATACTGAATTTTGTTCCGTTTATTTTCAAATATACTGAATTTTAAC